TTTGAAAAATTGTTTTTGCAAATATCTCAAAAAAAAAAAATCAGTTCTAACCCGTGTTTTCCTAGAACAGCCCCCATATGATCTTTATTGTTATACTGTTTCAATGATTTGATTTTTTCTGTTATGTATCTTTTACATTTTTTTATTATTTCCTTGATTATTTTTTGACTATTGCTACACAACCATAAAGTGCTGTTGTGTCTCATTTTCTTGTTTACAGGAAATGCATGTCCATTCATTTCCGTATAAATCAGGTTGTCTTATCTTCAAGTTTTCTAGTACAGGTAAATTATTATTCATAGTTTTAATTTTGAAAGCTTTGATTTTGCTTTCTGAGAATGATGTCTCTGGATGTGTGTTGTAAGATGAAATGGCAAAACTTTTCCATGTTCTGTCCCAATCATTGGAAAAAAAAAATTTAACACGTAAAACAAAATATTATTATTATTTAACATGAGAGACTGTTCTGGTAACACAAAATTTTAACCCATGCGACTAATCAAAATGGTGAATTTGATAATGTAAAAATTAAATGTTGGTTTGATTCATTTTGTCAACAATCACTTTACCAACAATTTGTTTCAATAACAAATGGTTCGAATTTATGAAGTGGGTGAGATGGAGACAGTAGAGGACAGTAGAGGAGATGATGGTGATGAGGAGGAGGATGAGGATGAGGTGCTAGAGGTGGTAATGGTAGAAGATGGTGATGGTGGTGATGATGATGGTGGTGATGGTGGTGATGAGGGTGAGGTTGAGGGGGTTTAGATCACCCTGGGGAATTAGGGAGGAGGAGATTGTGATGGAACATTTAATTAGGAAGAGGATAAACTGTAAGAAGTTGAGGGAGAATGAGGGGCTTATGAGGACGAACCAGGCGATGTGGTTGAAGGCAAGAGAGTTGAGGAGGAAGTTTAGGAGGGTTTTGTTTCCAAATACTTATTAAAAAAATTTTATTACTCTAGATATTTTGGTTTTCTGAAATTCCTTAATGGATACCTTATAAAATGAATCCCCTTCATTGCATTAAAGGTTGCTCACTAAAACCTCTTGGTGACTGCCAAAATTCTAATGAACAATTGGTGTGTACTGCATGTTAACTACTATTTGGTTTTATTTATATTTGGTAATTTGTGTCAATTATGAAAGTATTGAATTGAATTTCATGATTCCTGGACATACTAAATTTAAATGTGATGGTAATTTTGGCATGATTAAAAACTATGGAACAAGAGTAGATTGTCTGGATCATGTGGTTTCAATGGTAAAAAAGTCTAGTCCAGCTGGATTAAATAAAGCTTGTTGTACTAATATCATCTCTAAAATGCTATCAGAAGCTGAAATAGTCAACTTAAGAAAGCTTTGAAAGATGGCATTAAATACTCCTTAACTACCTGCTCCAAATGAGTTAATTGATCTTTTTTCTTCAACCTTGCATACTAAGCACATTCAGTTTCATAATTTACTTGCTTAGCATGTAAATTTTTTCCTCTTTGCTTCCACTTTGCATGCTTAGCATGAGAAGTTCAAAATCTTCCTTTCCACTTTGCATCCTTAGCACATAAAGTTTGCAGTTGCCCAGCTTGAAAATTACATACCTAGTCTTATATTCAGATATAATCTCATCATCTTCTGCTAACTGTTTGCACAATCCTTGATTTGTTCTGATAATTTCTTCCATGGTATTTACTATGGATTTACTATCACAAATTGTGATTGATTCAAAAGAAGAATTAAGAATAGTTCTCTGAATTATTTATTATAAGCCTGGTGGGTTATATAAATCTTTTGATAAATTAGCTATGGCATCTAGAAAAGCTGGATATAATTTCAAAATATTCCAATATTTTCAGATGGTTATTTTTGCAGGCATTGTATCAAATATATTCAACAAGGCCTGGTTATATCCCTTGACCCTCTTACAACAATGTGAGGTACCCTAATGCATTACACTTTGCTGATATAGTTTATATGCCTTGGAGTAAGATTAAAGGGAAAGTATATACCTAGCTGGACTTTGTCAGAATTTAATATTGATTAAATAATTGTTGAGGATGAAAAGCCAGCTTTATATTAAAAAAAGAGCCTGGCTCTGATGCCCAGCCTCCTAAAAGATCCTTTGTTAGAGAAGAATTATTTGTGGTCCCTCCTGGTACTGAAATGCCTCCCCACTTCATCTAAGATAATAATAAATCCATGTATTCTGCTAATCCCGCCTCTTGTTTCTTAATATATTAAAAGTTTTGTTTATGCATGACCTTGGTATTATTACTACCTGGGTGATGCAATTGTTTGTTATGCCAATTATAACATCAAATGTATTGAATAATAATCATGACCATCATGAATATTTGATGGATGGAGGCATTCACATACAAGAAAATGATTAAATGCTAAGT